AGATCGCTGATCTGATAAACACAGAGGTTTCTCAGTCAGATATCTCACCGTACTTGAAGGACCCCAGAATTGCATGGATTCCAAAGCCGGGTAAGCCAGCTACAGCTATGAAGAACTTGAGGCCCATAGGAGTAATAAGTGTTCCAGGCAAAGTGCTTGCAGGTGCTGTCAAGACTCGCATAGCACCGGCACTGCAAGAGCGCTCACAGCTTGAGCCGCAGTTTGCATATATTCGGAAGCGAGGGGTGCGAGATGCCATTGCAAAAGCGTGTCAGCATTTGGATCTCGTGCAGGAAATGCGCCAAGAGCATCGCCGGGATATGCACAAGGCACAGCAAGGTCAGAGAAGGCTCCCATTGGCAGGGGCCTTAACAGTCTCCGTCGATCTGAGCAAAGCCTTTGACTCTGTCAACAGACAAGAGTTGCTTGAAGCCTTAGACAAGCTCAACATAGATCAAACCACTAAGGACTTTGTTGTACAACTCCACTCCTGTACATCGTACAACATGGGCACTAATGGGCTTGAGTTCAGTGTTCCTACTTCTTCGGGAATAAAACAGGGATGTAAATTAGCTCCTGCATTGTGGTCTGCCTTAACCTTGCTAGTCATGGACAGGATGGAGAAGAAGTGGGGGCCTGGCAGCAGTCAGGCAAGAGATATACTCACTGTCTTCGCTGACGATTTTCTCCATCAGGAAACTTTTACAAGCTTTGCCGAACTGCAGCAGGTACTCACTCGGCTTGAAGCTTTGTTTCAATCCCTCGAGGAAGTCGGCCTTGAAGTCAATCCAGCGAAATCCAAGGCACTGCTCATGGTGCAAGGCACTCAGCAATCCCTCTTCCGCAAGCAATACACCAAACGATTAAAAAATCAGCTCCATTTGGTTCTTCCCTCGGGGCATCAGATTCCGATTCATCATCAGCTGACCTATCTAGGAGTGCAACTAAGCTATGGTGCTTACAAGGATCAAACAGTAGACTACAGGATTTCTCAAGCCCAAGGCAAATTTGAGCTCCTTAGGAGTATCTTGTGCACGACGAAGGCCCTTGACGAGGCGAAGAAACTAGAGATCTGGCGAGTGTATGTCGAGTCTTCGCTCTTGCATGGCATAGTCTCCACGGGAATCACCCACACGGGACTGCAAAAGCTCCAGAGCAAATATTCTCGGATGCTCAGATCTATCTTTCAGCAGCATCAGCATTTTAGTCGAATGGAAACCACAGAGCTGTTTGAGCACCACAAGATCCAAACTCCTCAGGAAGTTCTTCTCAGGCAAATGAGGAACTATCAGGATGCGATGGATGCTGCCAAGCCAACAGGCAATTTACAAACGATCCAAGAGTACCTGGGTCTACGCAGCCGGCTGATTAGCCAACAGCAGCTACTTCAATCCATGCAATTGGCTCTGGCCGAAGAAGATCATGCAGTGCCCTGTTCGCTATGTGATAGAAGTTTCTCTAGCAACAAGGGATTGCAGCATCATACACTAGTGAAGCATGGAGGCCAAAGAGCAAACCAGTTGGGCCCTAAATTCCAAGTCTTCGCACATAGTCTGCAGGGACTCCCGCAATGTGCAGCATGTCACAAACAGCTGCGCACAATGCATCAGCTTCGCAGACATGTTGAATCGGGAACATGTTCAAAGCTTCCAGAGCTGAGGGAGCGATCATCGTCCTGCTCAGGAGCGGAGAGCACAGCCTTGCTGCTCCAACCAAGTGTTCAGGATCAATTGAAAAGAGACCCTGACCTGCTTCTCAAAAAGGCTCATGTGACCAAGCACTTGCGGGCTTACTGCAGCCTCTGTGGGCAGTTCATTGTCGGTCACAAGGGCGTCAAACAGCACATTCAGAAAGCGCACCAGGCTTTCTGGGCAGGGGCCTCAGACTCAGTCTATGCCAACATGCGCACACATAAGAGACTGCTTCATAAAAAGGAGGAATGCAGATATTGTGGAATGATGGTTGACGCTCCGGTTCGCCACGCGGACCAGTGTGTAGTCCTGCTGCAGGTCTATGCCATGAGTGCAGCAATGAAAAAGTCTACCGACCCACACATAGAATATGGCACTGTGACGTCGGAACTTGGGATTCGTGCGCAGGAGGGTTCCTCCCAGGAGGCTTCCTCCACCAGTAGGATTCGGTCTCACCAGGCACCAGCAAGCTCCCAGCGAGACGCACCAGCAGAGGGGAGACCTTCGTCAGTGCCCGTCACAGCCTGGTCTCTGGCCTATCATAATCCGCATCAACTGTGCTATGCACACACAGTAGTGCATATCCTTGCCTCGCTTGCATCAGAGGGTATTCTTTCTGATCCATATCTGAGACAAATATTGACGGAAATTGACGCAGTAGGGGGTCGTTCTTCTAGTGTGGATGTTCGTAGGCTGCGACAGCTACGTCCTCTGCTGACGGGATGGCGATTCAGACCCAGGCAAGAAGATGCATCCCAGTTTCTAGCACATATCATTCAGAGATCCCATGTGCTTTCAGCAGATGTTTGGGAAGCGAGGGTTCAAATCACAGCACCCGTGGAAAGAATCAGCGTAGAGGATAGAGGGGGTTTGATTCTTTTCTTGCCTGACCCACCAGATGGCCTCTCCACACTACAGCAAGCCATTTCTCAGTGGGCGCACAGGGGGAGCACCTATGGGCTACTCCCGGGAGTGAACCTGGTTTGCATTCAGATCCAAAGGTTTGAGCACTTGGAGAAAACAAATCGGCCTCAAGTTTTAGACACAACTCTGGAGCTTCCAGAGTTTATAGATAATGGCACGACAACCGCTGTGGTCAGCTTTCGACTATATGCATTCATCATTCATCTAGGAGATGATTGGAGATCTGGGCATTATAGGACAGGTTTTTTGAGAGAAGAAGTGGCGTATCTCGCAGATGATGACCGCTCACCACGGCGAACTACGCTCCTCTCGGATCAAATTTGCCAGGGATCGTATTTGGCTTTCTACGTAAGGGTCTAGCTCGCTCTACCTTCGCATGCGGAGGTTTCCTCCGGAGGCTTCCTCCGCAGCAGTGTTCTTTCTTCTTAAAGTAGACCTATCTGCCTGCTGTTGCCTAAGGCAACTCGGCATGAACGCTGCCCTGCGCGCAATAAAGCCATGATCTCGTGCTAAGATGTATAGTCTCTTGCGTGAAACTTTCACATGCGGAGGTTTCCTCCGGAGGCTTCCTCCCCGGTAGTGTTTCTCACAGTAGACCGTTCTGCCTGCTGTAGCTTAAGGCCAAGCTGACCCATTCTTGTCCCTGAACCTGAAGCATCTGAAAGAGCCCTGCGCGCACTTCAGAACATGTGAGGTCTCCTCCAGGTCGGTGGGTTCAGCTTAGGGTCACTTTTTCGGATGCAACCTTGCCTTGTCGCAGCGCTGGCCCCGAGAGCCGTGCAAGGTGTCCCAGGTCAGGTGCTTCCCTCTTCGCAAAGTACTCGTGCCTATGTGAGACCTCCTCGTTAAGTTCGGTCAGTTGGGGTCACATTTTCTCGACCAGGAATGCAATTTTGCCCTGTCGCAGCGCTGGCCCCAGGAGCCGCGCAAGGCGTCCCAGGTCAGGCTTCGCAAACTTAGCTACCCTGCCTCCAACTTGGGCATCCTTCTTGGAACGTGCAAGGCCGCCTTGGTGCGCTCTGCCTACGGCCCTCTGCCAGTTGTTTAGCGTTACCTGTGTGAGACGTCACTAGACAGGAACGCTGAGTGTCGGCCTCACCAGAGGTACGGCTCGCTAAACAGCTGGTGCGTGGGTGCTGGACGCAGTGACTCACAGTAGGGTGTCGGGGTAGCCGCGCTTATTTTTCACTCTTTTGCAGTGCTGAGTACTTGATATCGGAGGCTGCCTCCGTGCCAACTTCATTTCTTCATTGATTCATTGCATCAGATTAGGAGGTTTCCTCCTGAATATCCTTAAGTACTCTGCCAAAGCAGATTCAGTATAGCAGGTAGTGAGACCTGGCAATCTGGAGGAAGCGATCCTCTCGAAGTCCAAAAGGCCGGACTGTGAAATAAAAAAGGCGGGTGAGACCTTCTATATCACACTTGCCCGCCTTAATCACACCAAACTCAGCTAGCGCACAGCTATAGCCTGCAACACAACATCGGGGCCAGCCGGCACTGCAGCAGTCGCGGGTGCAGGTGAGCCAGTAGGAGGCGGTCGTAGGGTGTCCAGCCAGCACAGCGCTATCGCAGCCCTGAGGGGCGGATGCATTCCACATACTCGAACATAGCTGTGCACAACAATCCTTTCAGCAGCCCTGAGGGGCGTGAAGTACGAACTAGCAAAGACTGCTGGAGCTCCCAAGGCGGATACAGAGTAGCCGACGTGCCGAGGATCCAAAGTGATCAGAGGTCCACATGCTGATTCTGGCAGTGAGTGCAATGCAAAAAATGTTGTTGTTGTTGTTGTTGTTGTTGTTGTTGTTGTTGTTGTTGTTGTTGTTGTTGTTGTTGTTGTTGTTGTTGTTGTTGTTGTTGTTGTTGTTGTTGTTGTTGTTGTTGTTGTTGTTGTTGTTGTTGTTGTTGTTGCTGTTGTTGCAGTTGTTGCTGTTGTTGCTGTTGTTGCTGTGTGGTTCTTGTTCTTGCTGGAGCAACGGCAACAGCAACAGCAACAGTAACAACAACGACAACACCACCAGCAACAGCAACGACAGCAGCAACAACAAGAACAACAAGAACAACAAGAACAACAAGAACAACAAGAACAACAAGAACAACAAGAACAACAAGAACAACAACAACAACTACTACTACTACTACTACTACTACTACTACTACTACTACTACTACTACTACTACTATTACTACTACTGCAGCAGCAGCAGCAGCAACAGCATCAACAACCTCAAAAGACTCCAGACTCCAAAGTGCTGTCCCGGGGCAACGTTCCGAAAGTGATGGCTTGATACGGTTGTCCAGGTTGAGAAGGCCTCAGCGACTTGGTGCCACTGCCAGACATGCCAATGCTGCCACACTGTTTCACGGATTCACAGTACTGCTACCTCACATCGTGACAAGCGTCACCACTAGCCAGCATTCGCCCCGGCATCCTTCTGCTATGCCATAGTCCGTGATGGCACGGACGTATGACTTCCGCACGGATTGCTGCTTGCGGTTGTTGAGGCTGTGCCGGACGATGTTTCGAGCGCCATCTTCCATGTACCAAGGAATTCTTGTGAGGGTACCATCTGGACCATGCGGGGCCTCGCAACGCAGGAAACAGGAAGCACTGCATCTGCTTGGACTTGGACACGCTTAGCTTAGCAATGCACTAGCCACTCTAACCTGCGAGTAGTAGAGTAGCAACTGCAGCTGAGTCAGCTCACGTCCAGCCTCGTACAAAGAGAAAATCTTCTCCTGTAGCTGTCTGCCAGAAAGGTGACCAAACCGCTCAAGCAGACTTCGCGCGCCCCATATGGCGTCACTCGCTTTCTCCAACTCCATCGAAGCAGGCGCACGCCCCGGCGCGCCAGACTTGTTGGAAGAAGAAGCGGCCATGCACGGACAGAGCTAACACAAACGGAGAGATGGACAGCCACACAGTCGAGACGAGTAAGTCTCACTGGCACTGACACTGCGGTTTCGAGCAACACGCCATGCCACGCAGGATCCACCTGTGATCAACATGGTGAGGAGCAAACAAACGAGGCAACAGACTGCAAAGACACTCCGAGGGTTCACTGTTTCACTGTGTCACGGTGTGGCTTGGCGCCGCACGCGGATAGGCGTCAGGGCTGGCACATCTGTACAACAGAACAAATGCATGTTTTGAAAGTAAAGTAGGCCGCTCTTCGTCAAACCTCTAGCCTCAAAACCGGACTCTCAACCGGTTAGGCCCTAAACTTTAATTTTAGCCCTAAACCGTTTGCCCTGAACCCTGACCCTTAACCCTTAGACCACCTAAACCCACACAAAACCAGACTGGTCGGCCACAATGGACGAGCCCGAGCCCGCAGAGCATACTTGCGCCCACTCTGTGCAACTTTTGACATGCGAGTGGAGTGAATTGCGATTAGTGCTAAAGGAAAGGGTGTGCGGTGTGCACTCAAGCGGCGCGCAAGCGGGACAACAGGCTCCAGAACGACTGTGATTGTCCTAGAGCCTGGGCAGGCTTCACGGTTACCTCTGTGGCCGCGTACAGCAGCGCTACGCCTGCAATCATGCAATGCATACTGTTCCCCGCTTGCGACATGCGGCTGCAGCGATGTGATCTCTTGATGCCCTGGCGGTCGTTTGCGAAGCTGCACGTCGGCACCCCTGCAGAGAACTCTGGGTCGATCGGGAAGGCTTGCGCCAGCAATGCCTCCGAAGCCGTAAGCCATCGACCGTGGACGGCTGACCTTAAAGCATTGGTACGTTCTGAAGCGTTTTAAGACGTGTTGTTGAGTTTCGGCACGAACCCCTACAAGCAAGAAAACATCTGAGCACTGTCAAGTAAATGCCACTCAGCTACCACAGCAATCCGGAACTTTTCAGAATGGTCTTCATGTGAGTCGACTGGCTCGCCGTGAAGCTGACGTCCGGGTTCTGGTTCAGCTGGTACACTTGCCCAGGCCGCTGTGACTCATAGTCCAGCAAAAAAGTGTATTCTGCCTCGGTGAGAGCTGCCGAGAAAAGATCCTTCACCTTCTGCGGGTGATTTTCCATCGCGTTTCTTAATTCCTCAACATTCTGAAAGGGAAGTGCATCCAACTGAAACCGGCTTTCCGGTCGCGAGCAAGCCCACAACAATTCCTCCCAGAGATCATCTGGCTGTCCTTGGAAGTACACATCCCAGGCTGGCACTGTCTCACTCAACGTCTTTGTGTACGCACCGAACCAAAGATCAGCCTGGAACATCTTGGAGAACGCAGTCCACGGTGATGACCACGCAGTAGTCTTCAGTTTGTGGCGCAAGACTGTCCACTTTCTCGGGCGCAAAATCGGGAAGCCAAAGTCGCTTGGAGAAAGGATCTGCACATCTATGTGGTAAAGACCACCTAAGAATTTGAAAAGCAAGCCCGTATCGAATCCTTCAACGTTTTCTTGAACCAATATTGGCTCCTGCAACTGCATTCGCATGGAGATCCATGCGAGAAAATGTGTAAAAGACTCTCCGTCTTGCCCAAGCAGGCTGCCTCGAGGGGACCAATCAGGGCACGGGGTCCCTGCCACGTGCAGACGGCACGACGTCACCTGTGCGTGGGGTCCGGCTCGGGGTGGTTGGTTGGGGTTCAGGCTTCAGGGTTCAGGATGTAAGCGTTTAGGGTTTAGGTAAGGTTTCGGCGACTCCCTGGCCCGACAATGATGTTACGAGGGAAGTCCCTGCTGACCCGTCCCCGCCACGAGCCTGGCACGTCTTCTTGTGTCGCAAGCAGTAAGCAGACGTGGTCGTGGCGCCGCCCTTCATGACCAATGGCACCAGCACGCTCTGAACTTTATTCTGGGCAATCAGTGCGTCCAACCTGGCATTAATCTGCGGAACAAAGAACTCACTGATGTCGTCGAAAATATGCTCAGGCTGGTGAGGGTGACAAGAGAGCTCTTGTTGGCAAGGATGCGTCCACTCAACCGCAAAGAGGTTGCGAGGTCGTGGAATGTGTTCCAGGCTCACGTCCAAAAGTTTGCACAGTCCAATGCCAAGATTCAAAAACGCTGTCGCAGGAGCATCGATGCCAGAGAAGCTGGTGCTCATGTCCATCTCGGACAAAGCACCCAGCATTCTGTGTCCTTCAGACGCAGTCCACTCAGCGTCATCTTGACCATCTGGCTCCACATGTGCTCGGCTGCTGTCGGCATCGGCATCCAAACACACTTTGCGCCTCTTCCCGTCAGCCTGGACAGCTGCCGCGGCCTCAACATGAGCTCGGTCCCGTCCGTAAGCGTCTTTCACGCTCTTGCGGAACTGCAAGCATAGCTGCCAGACCCTAACTGGCCAGTTGAAAAGCAACTTCAGCGCAGTCCGGCGCATCTGGCTGTCCCAGCGCACTGGATCAGGCTCAGTGCCAGGCGGCTCTGACGGAGCCTGAACAGCATGCTGAGCATGCTCAGCAGACTCAGTCGGCAATGCTGGTGCAGCAACTGGTTTTGCAGCACTTTTCATGGCAGTGCTTCTTGGCTTTGGCTGGGGTGACTGCTTTACACGCACCCTGCGTCGGGGTGGCTCTTCTTGAGCATCATGGGGCATGTGGCTGCACACTAGAAGAAATGCGGGAAGCGGCTAGCCCACAACCCGCAACACTGCAACACTGCTACCAAAGCTTGGTCCAGAGTCAATGTGTCTGTAAGTAACAGGAAAAACAACAAGAGTGCCCCCGAACACGCTGTCAGCACAAAGGCAATGTGCATGGAGCGATTGTATGAGTGTCACAAACTTCCGCTTTCAAATGCAAGCCAGCGGTGCCCAGCCGCAGTGAAATCAGCACACCAGTCGGTCAGCCGTCTCGTGATGGAAACCTGCGGAACAACGATTGGCATATGCTTGTGTGTGTGTGTGTGTGTGTGTGTGTGTGTGTGTGTGTGTGTGTGTGTGTGTGTGTGTGTGTGTGTGTGTGTGTGTGTGTGTTTGTATGTATTGTTTGTAAAATGATATTGTGTTTGTATATGTACATATAAACACATGTCTTTCTGTGTATGTGTATATGTGCATGTATGTTTGTGTGTCTTGTGAAAATACAAATATGTGTAAAGTGATTTGTGTGTTTTGTATATATGTGTTTATGTGTTTTGTGTACACGTGTATACCTTTACACATACATTTGCTAACATTGTGTGTGTGTGTGTGCATTTGTGAATTTTGATGTGTGGTGGGAATGGTAATGTGGACACGGTGGTGCGCGACCGTATGTGGGCACGCTCGGAAGGTGCATGGGGGGCCTGGGCGTGGGTCGGACATGGACGGGGCCCGTCCGCGCCCCCGGGGCGTGGACGGGCCCGTCCACGGGGGCTCGGGCGTGGACGGGGCCCGTCCGCACCCCTGAGCGTGGACGGGCTCTGCCCACAGGGGGTCGGGCGTGGACGGAGCCCGTCCGCGCCCCCGAGGGGTGTGGACGGGCCCCGTCCACGGGGGCTCGGGTGTGGACGGGCCCGTCCGCACCCAAAAGGCGTGGACGGGCCCTGTCCACGGGGGGGTCGGGTGTGGACGGGGCCCGTCCGCGCCCCTGGGAGGCGTGGACGGGCCCCGTCCACGGGGGGTCGGGCGGTCGGGCGTGGACGGGGCCCGTCCGCGGGTTCCGTCCACGGGGGCTTGGGTGTGGGCGGGGCCCGTCCGCGCCCCCGCGTGGACGGGCCCCGTCCACGGGGGGTCGGGCGTGGACGGGGCCCGTCCGCGCCCTTCCGCAAGGCGTGGATGGGCCCCGTCCACGGGGGTCGGGTGTGGACGGGGTCCGTCCGTGGTCCTTGGGGGTGCGGAGGGGCCCGATCTCGGCCGTGGAGGGCATGTGTACGGGAGGTCTGAGTCTAAGGCAAAAGCTTCAGCTGACAGTCCTGCCTTGACCTCCCAGTGGCACTCGTCGACGTCCACCGCCGTGAAGCCACCTCCGGCGTGTTCAGGGTTTTGGCTTTTTTAGGGTTTCGCGCTTAGGGCGGAGGGCTGCAGGCTTAGGGCTTAGGTCTTCAGACACCGGGGTCTATGGCTTAGGGTTTATGGCTTCCTTCGGGTTTCGGGCTTAAGGCCGCGGCTTAGGGCACCTACACCCTAAACCCTGAACCCTAAACCCGAAACCGCCCTAAACCTTACCCCCTCAACCCTAGACCGTCTTTGAGTCTTAAATGTTTGGGTTTATAATTAGGGTTTAAGGTTTAAGGTTTGGGGCTTGAGAGCCTAGCTGAGGGCTGAAACCCACGGTTTAGGCTTGGGCCGAGGTCCGGAGCTTGGGCTGATTTTTTTTAGGGCTCTTTTGGGCTTTTGGCCTTAGGCCTTGGGGCCTTAGGGCCTTAGGGTCTTCTTAGGGCCTTAGGGCCTTAGGGCGTCGGGTGTCGGGTTTAGGGCCCCCTAAACCCTCGACCTTTAAATCCCAGCACCCACCGTACACCCGAAACCGCTTGGGGTTGGGTTTGGGGCGGCTTATTATTGAGTTTATTATGGTTTGTAGGGAAATTAAGGATGAAAGGGCAATGCCACCACGCGCCGTCCAGGCGTCCATCGTGAGTCCATGGCCATAATGGGATGTCGAGTGAATCCACTCGGCAATCGAAATGGAGCGCTTTCGCCAGTCCTTTCTTTGGAAAGGCGCGAGCGCAGGAGATTGCGGTACTTGGGCTTGAAAGCTGCTGCCGCCGGTGGATGGGCTGAAGGGTTGGCACCAGGGCTGGCCTGCTTCGTGTCAGCCAGTGCAAGCCGCCACGCATACCTCTCCGACCAGTCTGCTTCCAGAACGGCCCTCTTGGTTGCGGCGCGTTCGACGTGATCTTCCAGTGTTATAGGGTTTAGGGTTTAGAGGGGTTTAGGGTTTACGAAACCTGATTATACAATGACTCACACGTCTAACACTGCAAATCCTCCTCCAAGGCTTGCAAAGTCCGACTTTACCGCCCAGCTGAGAACCCCAATTGACGCCTAGCTTAGTCTGACTCTTGCCCGAAAGCCCGCCGGAAGCACCTGGCACTGCCTAGCAACTTTCAGTAGGGCCTGAGGCCGGAGTTCTGGCACCCCTGACCGATTAAACGTGCCTCTAACTTTATAACTCAACTCCCAAACCCTGTCCTAAGTCGAACATAAGGATTTAGGGTTTGGGGTTTGGGGTTGGGGTTTAGGATTTAGGGTTTAGGGTTTAGGGTTTAGGGTTAAGGGTTTAGGGTTTAGGGTTTAGGGTTTAGGGTTTAGGGTTTAGGGTTTAGGGTTTAGGGCCAGCCCTGAACCCTAAGCCCTAGACCCTAAACCCTAAACCCTAAACCCTAAACCCTAAACCCTAAACTTTAGGTTTGGCGTTTAGGGTTTAGGGTTTAGGGTGTCGGGTTTAGGGTTTTGCGGCTTAGGGTTTAGGGTGTCGGGTTTAGGGTTTAGGGTTCAGGGTTTAGGGTTTAGGGTTTAGGGTTTAGGGTTTAGGGTTTAGGGTCTAGGGTCTAGGGTCTAAGGTTTAGGGCTTAGGGTTTGGGGTTTGTGGTTTGGGGTTTAGGGTTAGGGTTTAGGGTTTAGGGTTTACTCAGTTTACTCAATCTTAGCAATGCCAGCCTGGATCTGTTCCAGCTGATATCATAGCCTTGGCAAGGCAACAGGCGTGGCGGGGTGGCATGAACGAGTGCACACACAATCTGAAACTCAAACTGATCAAGCGAGCGCAGGAAATGCTTGACTCTTTTTAGCTGACGCTCAGGCCAGGGGTTGCTGCCACCGCTTACAGTGCTTACAGCTAACAGGCTGCAATCGAGAAGAAGATCTCCTGTGAGCCACGTGTTTGAAAAAGAAGATCTCTAGCAAAAGAAAAACTCTAGCGACGCTTTGGCCACGGGTTGCTGTTACGGTGCTTAGACAGGCTGCAATCGAGAAAGAAGATCTTGTGTGAGCCTGTCAGCCGTGTGATTGAAAAAGAAGATCTCTAAGGTCCAAGATCTCCCGTGGGCCCGTGGCCTTGCCAGCTTCCCTCAGCGGCTGCCTTTCTTCTTTGCAATCTTGGCACGGGTTGTGTTGGTCTTCGCCGTCGCCTTCAAGCCCTTCTGCTTCTTGGGCGCCGTCTTTTTGGGATCCATCTTCTTCTTCTTCTTCGGGGTACTCTTGGCACGCTTTGGGCGCTGGTCTTGCTCAAGGATGTACTTCGTCCTGAGCGTCGCCGCTTGGATTGTTTGCAGGACACTCAAGATGGATCCGAGCAGGCGGATGTGCTCCATGCGGTAGAAGGACCAGTCGCCTGAGTGTGTACGAGGCCCAAGACAAACAAGTACCAGTTTGAATCTGAGCCTGATGACCAAACAAAAAAAAACACGAGAGACTACGACGTAAGAAATGAAGTGACAAGTGCTACAACTGCTACACTTCACATCACTGCTGCTGAAGCACCTCGGCCATCACGACTGTCCCCTGAGTCAGACTCCGAGTCTGACACCGGTGTTGGCGGCGGTGGCCCATGAGGCTGCTGGAGTTGGAGCGCTTGGATTTGCTGCTGTACCCCAGGCAAAGGCAAGGGCGGGGGCGGCCCGCCGGGCTGGTATACCAAGTTGGCGGGCAGGGGCGGGGGTGGCCCCGCGGGCAGGTGCACCCCATTGGCGGGCAGGGGCGCAGGTGGCCCGTATACCCCATTGGTGGGCAGGGGTACGGGTACAGGCGTCGGTGGAGGTGGCCCAGCGGGAGTGTGTGTTACCCCAACACCAACCCCAACCCCGTGAAAAGCTGGCACAGGGGGGAGAACACGGCCGCGGCGCGGGCGCGGGAGGGGCTTTGGCCCAGGCACGGAGTGTGAACCCGACTGGCCGGGAGGCTGAGACTCAGGTGACTCAGGGAGATACGGCTGACGCGCAGGCATGGGAGGTACCAGGTACAAGTGCTGGGCCTCAGACACAACACGCGCACACACACACACACAACAGACACGGCGATCTTTGCGTTGAGCCGTGAAGGCAACAATCACAGACAAGCACATGAATCAAACGACACATAGAGTCACTGCCTTGAGGGAATTTCTAGAAACTTCACGGTCCGTCATGGTGTCTAATGTCTGGTTGAATTTCGCAGCCATCCTCACTAAACCCCGAACGCGGCGAACGCGAAACCCTAAACCCGAAACCCCAAACCCTAAACCGGCCCAAAACCCCTAAGCCCCTAAACCCCTAAAGCCCCTAAACCCTAAGCCCCAGAAAGCCCATCCGATAAAACCCGAAAAACCCTGAACCCTAAACCCCAAACCCTAAATTAAACCCTACGCCCTTACCCGGACCCTAAACCCTAAACCCTATAGATCCTAGGTCCTAGACCCATCTCTGGGAATCGAGCCGTTTCAGCGACTGAAGGACGTTTTGGCAAAGCGGACAAGGGAGGTGAGTCCTGCGTTCTGGCAGTGGTGGGATGCTGGGGGTTTTGCGATGGTTCTAGGGTGGTGGGAGGTTTAGGGCCCAGGGCGGTTTAGTGCTTGGCTTTTTGCAGAGCTTAAGTCTGCACAAGTCAAAGGCTAACTACATGCTCGAACACGAACACTGACACGTCGACGTGGCTGAGGCTGGAAGACACTGCAACTGCATCGCTGCATCAGCAATTTCATTGCTACGTTGTAACAAGAACTCACAAACATGCGGCATCGGTAGTCCTGTGAGCAGCATCTAAACCTGCGGCTCTTGGCGTGCTTTCCAGGAACGCGTGCATCCACGCCGGTAGCGCGCGGAATGCTTCCGCGTGATCACGCGTGAGCACGTCTGCAGCCGACACCAGAGAAGACAGGGACAAGGCGCAGGACGGATGCCAGGTCAGGAGACACACTGTGCAAGCGTGGCTGTCGCAGGGCGCGCGGCACTTGGCACAACGCACGGTGGCACCTTTCGATGTTGAATCAAGGTCCTGAGACTGAGAGATGGAGGCCTAAGCCCTAAGCCTAATTCCTAAACCTGAACCATCCTGAACCCCAAACTAAACCCGCTTGATTCATGTGGTGGTGTTGGGTTTTACCGGTGCGGAACAAAACGACCTGAACTGTGAACTCAGCGTGATCTGCAAGGCCCAAGTTTCCCCCACCTGTCCCTGCAGAGTGGCCGTCTGGCTCTGCTAGGTGGGTTTAGGGGCTTAAGGTTTATGTAGGGGCTCACGGGCTCTTTAGGGTTTAGGGGCTGGGTGGCAAAAACCCTCAACCCCCTAACCGTTAAACCCCCTAAACCGCCCTGAACCCCTAAACCCTAAACCCGGAATCTGAACCCAAAATCCTAACCTTAAACTTAAACCCAACCATAGACTGAATGAAAAGAACCTATCAAAAAAATGACAATAAACCGTTTCCGAGACACGTGATTCGCGTAGCTGATTGCCAGACGGGAGAACGCTAAAAAGCGTTGGACGATCTCTGGAAAAGCATCTCGGCAGGAGCTCTTGAACTTTCGGGATTGCGCCCCGCTTGCGTGAAGCAAGTCTGAAAATCGCGAGTGCGCGAAGTGCTGCGCCGGCACCTCCCGTCCGAAGAGGAACGGCGGCGACCAGACTACCCGGTTCCGGCTGTCGATGCGGGTGCATCGTCCCATCCGCATTGATGGGTCGGTCCATCGAACACAGACGACCTCCAGAGAGTCCGAAGAATCATCTGTGTTGGTGTCGGCACCAAGCGCCTGCGAGAGCGTGCCAGTGGCGTCATTGGGCGTGGTGACCAGCAGGGAGACCTCGTCTTGAAAACCTGCGCCCTTCTGGCATCTGCGGTGCCTGTCCAGAATACTGTGCAATGTCGCCACCATTGCAGCAGTCCAACGATCCGCCGCCTTCGCAGCCCTGGTCTTGCTTCTTTCCCGGCCATGATGGGCAGCGTCTGGGGGTGCTTCGGCTACCATCTCCTCAGAGTCCGAGTCATTCTGCTGTTCTGCTTGTGGCAACACCTCCAACAGAAAGGTGTCGTCGTTCTCGAAGCACTTGTACTTCTGCCGGTGTCTTGGCGCCCTGCTGCGCTGAAGCATGTCGCTTGCCTCGTCAGCAGGGGGCGGCTGTCGTGGCGCCGTCGAACTGGATGCTGAAGCTGAGGCTGAGGCTGCCTGTGCAGATGCGCGTGTCTTGCTTGTCTTCTCCTTCTCAAGCTGTCGAATAATCAGCAGCACCGCTTCCTCCTCAATCTCGTCAGGCGTCAAAACGTTGCCGGCATCAGCGTGAGTTTGCCGCACCAAGGAAACAGCTTCCTCGATCAATCCAAGATCATCGCACCTGGTTTGCTGAGACGACTTCGGGCCCTCCATGGCAGCTCGAATTTCTGATGACGTCTTCGCCTCAATCAGAGACGCTCCGAGCTCTGCGTCTAGGTCCAGCGCTTCTGCCGTTGAGTTTTGGACATCCTCGCCAAAACCATACCCAGTGTTCAACAGTTCTTCTTCATCCAAAGGCTTCGTGTCTTCGATGGCTGGATCAGGATCTGACGCTGCTGCCCTTGCTTCCTCCCGTTGAATGGAAGCCACGGCATGCTCGAGCGTGTCAGGGGACGTGAAAGTGAAATGGCCTGGGCCACTGCCTGGGCTGCTGGCTTCATCCAAGCATCTAAGAGTGTTGCCGCGCACGTGCATGGCAGTCAGGACAAAGACCTCGAACGTCTTGGGCTCCACCGGGTGAAAGCAGCCCGCATGAAGACCAGTAAGCAGCTGCATTGTCGAGAGAATTTCCTCAGCGCGTCTTGGTACCCCCGGCCCTAAACCTAAACCGTCGAAACCGTCAACCAAAATAGAAAATGACTTCAAGCACTCAAGCCACTGTCACAGCACGTGCGGGAACAGACAAACCGCCATCTGCTTCGGGCTGGAGGCGCACAACAAACAACAAGGAACGGTACGTCAGCAGCTGCAGAAAATATTCTCGATCATCGTGGTCCTCCGTGCGTCTGATGCAGAAGACCGTGAAGGCGGATGGCGTTAAGGCAGCACAAGCTTTCAATCGTCGGGACTCGCGCCGTGCTGCATCTATGGAAGCTTTCAGTTTCGTCACTTGCGATGAGGCCCACTGCCTCTGCGGGGTTCGCCTGAGATCAGGCACAGCTAACGACAGGTCTGTGTTGCTGAGCGAGTCATCCAAAGCCGGCATCGTAGCACGGGAGGGCTGTGAAAAACGAGCGGTGTCGTTGAGGACCTGCTTGTAGGCAGTGCCAGCCAGGGTCAACTCCTGCAAAAGTGGCTTTGCGTGTGTCGCCACAATGCTCCACCGTTTAGCCAGAGATCCCGTGCCTGGCAAATCACCAGTAAGGGATTTTTTTGCAGTAATGCGGGCGCTCATGGTTTCCAAATCGATGGACGGAGCTCGATTGCCAATCAGCCTCACGATCGAGTTAATGGATTCGACCAGTTGCGTGTCGCCTTTCAAGAGTGTGGACATCAGAGATACGACAGCAAAGAGGCGAGATCCTTGTTCGCTGCCGCCAAAGTTGAAGCGCCCCTGTTCTGCAACATGCCGCAGCTCTTCTCCATAAAGCCTCTTCAGCTTCCTGCAGTTGCATTCCAGACGTTCGTCAGGTAAATCCATGATCTCCTTGGCAATTGCTTGTCTCTCAGGGCATCGCGCGACAGGAGATGCTTTCAGCATTCCGAACAGTTTGTATGGATACCTGGCAAATGGGAAAGCGTTCAACTTAGTAACTTAAAGTCTTAGAGTCTAAGAGCTAAGGAGTCAAGGAGTCAAGCAGCCATGACTGAAAAGACACTGAAAACACTGAAAGAATTGAAGGGCGCCCAAACAAGGGCCACAAGGGGTCACAAGGGGCCTCTGCATGTGCATGGTCACACGCATGAAGAAACTGCCAGCCGCGTGCAGGACCAGCTTGAAGCTCAGGGTACGCACGAGGTCCGCAACCTCACCTGGCAATGCCTCAGCGCCGGCTTCACGAACAGCCTCCGCGAACCAGGTCGGAAAGGTCTGGATCAAGTTGTCGAACTCCATCTGGAAGACCTTGGCCTGTCCGGTCACAAGCTGCTGTACCAGGCGTTGGTTGGCATTCTTCTGGCACCAGGCAAAAAAATGCGAGAGCGGTGCGCGGGCTCGACTGGCAACATGAAGCAGCAGCCAAAACAACGAACTCCTGATGGCTTTCATGGAGCCGTCTGCCCATTTGGTGAGCTTCAAGTGGTACGCTTCCCGCTCCTCATCGGCATCCAGAAGGTCAGCCTTTGCTCCAGCCTTTTTGGGAGCCTTCTTGGCGGCCTTCTTCTGGGAAGCTTTCATGTAATGGCTGAGTACTGACATGAACACCGGCTCCAGCAGTTGCCTGGATCGCTCGATGAAGAACGACTCGCAGCTTTCCACGCTGCCCCATCTGCCAGATATCACAGCCAGTGGAAAACGCCGGTACGCAACAGGTTGTGGGTGCGTGCGCTCGCTGGCCTTGCCATAACCTCAATTCTCAATTGACTCAATTTGGCCTGAAAGTAACAATGTCATAATGTCACGGACTATGGACAAAAGACAACAGAGTAGTGACTACAGACTACAGACTAAATAACTAGATACGAAAGACTTTGGACTCTTATCAACCGTTAAACCGGCAAATCAAAAATTGATGTCCAGAAGTGCAGAAACCATGCACTGCCTCCCAGGCGTCCACGAACTGAGAAACATGCGTTCGCCAAAAGTTTGCACACTTGGCCAGACTGGCCGTGTAAGCTTGAAAACCTCCAGTGACATCATCCGAATCCAGGCTTTTCAAGAAGACGTCTATGATCTGAAGATTATCGCGCACCATCAAATGGAACTGGTGCAGGCAGCAGTTGATGTCGATATAAAAGAAACCGTCCAACTTCGCAACAGCGGCCTGAATGTGACGTCGCCTAGCTGCCTGGTCAGGCCCAGCATCTGTGGTATCCGCCCAGACAAAGACGGACGCTGCCGGATCCAAGGTTCCCTCCCTGACAGGAATCTGATCAGTGAACACTGCGACGACACTTGATGATTCCGAGTACTCGCCTATCTGCCTATCTCGTTGACTCGTTGAGTTGTACACTGAAGTTCTACTGGTATTGGTATATGACTCTGCCACATGTCTGACTGAGAGAATTGCCAGCCTCTGCAAGCGAGCAACGTCGTGGGGTCCTGGAATTCCCAACGCTGCCAGCTGCTTCAAAACAAGAGCCAATATGTCCATTGCAGTTGCATGGCTGTCCACCACTTGAAGGTCACTCCTTGGCACAAACTGCAACTGCACTGCAACCCTCATCTACATTGTTACATGTTACATTGCATAGCTTACCTACAAGCTGCAACTCGTACTTGTAACTGTAGTGTCAGCCCAGGCGCACACACGAGCGCGACGTCATCGCTGCTTCAAAGTCTGCCGAGCGCAATTTCTCGGGGTCTGACAGATACATGACCGTTGCCTCACAAACGTGTAACTTCTTTTATCGCCATATGTTTGTGTTTGTGGCGTCCGACCTGAAGCCTGCGCCGAAAAGTGCCCAGTCATTGCTGCTGCTGGATGATGCCTCAAGCGCCAGGCCCAAACCCTCTTTGCAAAAACTCTGCATGAGAGTAATTATGGCTGCTCCCGTCATACAAACCGCTCTGAGGACGGTTTGTTTGCTGACGTCCACCATGTTCATCATGCCAAAGTCACAAGCAGCGATGGTGGATAGGCAGCAACGTAACCCCATGGAAAACTTAGACTGCATCGACCAGCGTCCCGCCCGACCTTCTCTCTTCTTGCCGAGCTTCTGCAACTCGAACATATTCTTATCCTCGGCAGTCTTTCTTGCAAGTTCTCTGCTGCTCTGAGCTTGACGCTTGGCGGTTGCAAGTTTCTTCGTCAAATTCTTGACCTTGGCCTGCAACTGCTGATTACGCCGCTCAGCTTTCTCTTTCCCGGAATAGGCCAGCATCAACTTGTTCACCAACACCGGAACACCCAATTGTTCAAATTCAGCACGCTGTGTCTCGTAAGCCTCTTGCGAAGACTGCTGCCGCTGGCTCGCTCCAGCTGCAACAACACCCAAATGGCCTGGGCCGCCTGGTCCGCCTGGGCCCAATCGTCTTCGTTTCGCCCCTTTCCACATTGAAGTCGCAAACCGCGAAACAGCCTGCTCAGAATCACCAGTATGTTCCTCGCCATCTTCCTCATCAAGCACTTCGACAGTGTCAGGCGCAGGCACAAGAACGCCGTCAGTTGTTTCAGATTGCACCGGTACCATGGCTGTTTCAACAGCCTCCGACGATAAATCGACCACTTCTGTCATCCCAGGCAATCGATCGGGCGAACACGGGATGCCAGCCAAGCGGCTGACCTCACACGCATAGAAAACGCCAATGAAGGCAGCATGAAAAGGATTGCTAGCTGGAGCTACGTCCTTCAATGCTTCAGCCATGGCAGCCCGAACACGAGTCTTGGCTTGTTTGGCTGTGCAGCTTTTTCCCGACTGAAGCAGCTCTGCCAGTGTTGAGGCCACCTTCTCTTTAGAAACGACTTGTCGGCCGTCCAGAACAGTCACGTTCACATGCAACATGTTCGCGAAAGCATGACTAGCCAGCAAGGACATCGCCAATATGATCGGTCGCACAGCGAATCCCATGAGCTCAATACAAGAAATCAGGAATCAGGACTGCATACTATGTAGTAGCAGTACAAGACTCGATTGGTATGTCTAACCGTCTGTAAGACCTGATCTCATGTTACGAGCTCGCCAGGAGAGTTGCATTGATGTCATGCTGCTCAACTACTGTAAACAAGCAACGACACAACTTGTGCCAGAAACATCCAGCGTGCAGTCAAAATTCCTTTCAGCGCACCCATTTTTTCGGACATTTTTTCTTATGTTTAGTCCCCGTCGTGGCTGACTGTATATGAGCTTCTGCAAAAAAAAAATTGTCAACCTGCTTTCGAGCCGTGGATTCTTTGGATGATACACAGGCCGGGGGCACCCAGCTAGCATACCTTTCACCACGAAGGCATATGACAACGGCTGGCGTGGAGGGGGCACAGCCGGGTAGCCTCCCCACGCCCCGACCCCATCCCCAACCTAGCCAGTGGAACCCCTAAGCCAAGGCTGGCGGAACCAATCTCCTCTTGCCTTTCTCTGGCGAGACTCCAGGACGGCTCCGATCAATTTTCACTCAGGCTCTGCCCCTGAGGAGTCAGCCTGCTCTTGGGCTGACCTGACGTCCGCACGTGTCTGCAGGCGGCTTCAGCGCAAGGGGCATGGCCTAGCACACCCAGGACCGATCATGCCCTGCCGTCCTGTCTACATGCTACAATGCAGGCGGCGCTTTCCAACAAGCTTGTCCAATTGACTGATGCTGCAATGGCAGAAGGTAGACGGCAGACCTGAAATAGAGCCAAAGCTGGCGGAACCAATCTCCTCTTGCCTGTTTACAGTCTCTGGCGAGACTCCAGGATGGCTCCGATATGCTCCGATCAAATTCATTCTGCCTATTTTCCTAAGACATAGAAGACTTGCCCCGTCCATCGAGTGCATGCAAGTGTCCTTGGACCGCAGCCAAGCTTGCCCGAGAGATGCAACATCATGAGCTGTGCCACTTGTTGTGGCTCCTCATGCAGAGGCTATGCCCGGGCACTTGCTCGCCTGAGCCGGAAGATTTCACGCAAGCCATGACTCTGAGGGCCACATGCTGCTGCCGCAAGAAAAGGTCCATGCACACAGCGCAATTCCTGATGCTCTCCCCTGCCCCAGCAACCTGGGTGCCATCCAAGGCTGCTTTCTTCTTTTGAACCGTTCGGAGTTCAAAGGATGCTGCGCAAGGAGGAACATGTTACGGCTCCGCCGCGTTTTGACATTGACCAGGCGCCTGCAGCAACGAGTTTTGCGCTGCTGACGCACAAATACCTTTGCCCCAAGCGACACACTGGAGCCGCACGCACTGCCAAAGCCCATCTCGGGGCTTGTCACAATCGCCGCCCTGGGCCTTGACGGCGTTTGGCATCGGAGATCGTGGCAGACGTGTCACATGCCGACACAGCCAGCTCCGCCGAGCGATGCGCGGGGTAAGGAGAATCCCGGGACTTATTCGTGCTCGTGCGGCGCTTTGCCATCACTCCGCGCAGCCTAAAAAGGGCCCTGTGTCCCTCTGCAGTGAGGAGCCTCGACCCAGCAGCTTGCTGTGGAACACCCAACCCATCCGGCTAAGCCCCTGCACCTTGGCCTTGCTGTTTGGGGCCCCCTCCAAATCCTCATTCGAGAGCCGGTTTCTGGGACTGAGCAGGTGCTTTGTGCAAGCATGTTCGCGTAGCACCTGCGAGCATTATGTCCATGCTTGGGCCACTTGCTGTACCTGTGTTGGCCTTCGGTCCTTTTTGACAGGTCTCTGCCCAAGCAACCACTACTCCAGCTCTGAAACATGCAGGCAGCATGGGTTTTGTTCGCCACCTGTGAGCGGCCGGCCTCTGCTCCGAAGCCATGACTCGTAGACTCTGCGATGGTGGGCAGCGCATGCAGCGGCGCTTGGGCGGCGCTTGGCTAACTGTGCCGTCTGCTAGCAGCCAGCGGCCCGCCTGAACTTGGCTGGGCTCGTGCAGGGTCCCCGGTGATGGCCAAGTTCCAAGTGTACTCTGCCAGGCCACCGATCTCTCGCGGCTTCATTGCCCAGAGAAGCTCAGCTGCAGCGCATCTTTGAGGGCCTGCGTGGCCGAGGATGACGCCTCTCTCACAGCCAGGCCTTGGGCACGCAGAAGAAGAATGCCTGGGCCTGTTCTCAATGGGGTTTGGTGACTCTCAGACCACATGATGGACTTGCAGGGATCAAGCCCACGCGCGAAATCCTTAGCCTCAGTGGTTGCCAGGGCCGGCATCTTCGTTTACATGACAAGGGCCCGTTGGGCAGGCTTCAGGTCCTGGTGGGCCAAATGCGTGTTCGAGTGCCCGAAGTGGTCAGGGCAGCCGCGAAGAAGAGAATGACCTCTCAGGTCTGACCCTTGCAAGTGCCAGAGCTGCCTGAAGAGGGAGTTGTGAAGGAAAGGTTTGTCAACGACACCCCCTTGTGTCCAACCAACCTATAGCTTTCCCAGCTGCCTTGACGGCGCATTCTTCCCGGCACACTTGGGTGTCATGACGGCTGCTGCGCGTGCATTTGTCCTAGGACGTTCGCCGACAGGGCGGTGTCGGCTTTCTTCAGCTCTGTGCATGGTCCCCTCCAACCCATAATGAAGGGTGATGAGCAGACCACTCATCAGGTTGCGGAGGTTGCGGTGACTGCGGCAGAGCCTAGAGGAGTCTCGACGACCAAGCCAGCATTGTCGACATTTAAGGTGCAGGGCCCCCAACTGAGACCTGCACCACAGCCTCCCGGAGTCGGCTTCAAGAATTGAGGTACGCGACTGGCCAAGCCTGACCCGCCGGTGCCGTCGTATCCTAGAGGGGCACTGCTGCTAGCAAGGCCGAAGCGCGGGGACATGCCCGGCTACGTGTGCTGGCAGAGTATGCCCCGAATGCCCGGCGCGGCCGCGATCCCTAAAAACCAGCGATGAGATTTCTAGTGGCATGGCTCTACAAGCTTCCCGACTTCAGTACCCACGAGAGAAGAGATCTGCGCCCGCTTCTCAGCTGTGTGGAGCGACCGATGCGACCTCTTCTGTTCCCAAAAACCAAGCTGCGACATTGACAGGGAGTTGTTTGCAGCGCCAACCATCAAACATTGTGAATCTGAGCTGTGTAATTTCAACGCGACGTGACCCGCCTCGGCCTGAGCTTCCAGGTGGGCGTGGGCTTTGGGGGGCCCCTATGGCAGGGTGAAATGTGCCCTGGTCCTGATGCACCGTCTGCTCCCGGACATCGGCTTCGGGCGTAGGCCAAAAAGTGCCAAATACAGTGGCAGCGTGGCGTGTTGGGGAGGGGATTAGAGGTGGGGTGGCTACCCAGACACCTATGGCCCGAGGCCTCGGCGGATTAGTGGCAAACATGGGGCGGACGCCTTCAACCTAAGACACAACCCGGAAGGTGCATTGGGAGGACGTGCCGGAGTCCCGGCGAAGCCATGGCATCTGCGAGCAACCGAACGATTTGACTCACGGCTCAAGGGCTTAAGGTTCAGGGTGACGGGTCGTGTGGTTGGTTGTTATCGCCAGACCCCAAACGCAGAGGGTTCGTGGCTTTGGTGGTTGCATGTGGTTGCTGTTCTCGACTCATGCAGTATACTTGATGCGACTGCGGGCCCTGAGACGTCGTTGCCCCGTTGATATCAGGGACCTTTGCATTGCTTTCGGCCACTCGGCTGTCCAAATCTTCAAGCTTTTGGGGGTCGCTTCCTGGAACGGACAGGGTCGTGGTTTTTGGCCAAAATGTGCGGGCGTTACAGGTCTATGAAAGTTCTGAGACTTATGCAGAGGAGCAAAACTTGACTACACGTTAAAGTATCCCCGTATGCTTCCTCTACAAAATACATGTATTATAACTAAACTATACCCCAAAACCCTGTTCTAATTTATCATGGCGGCCCTTATATTCGGCACTTTGGCGTCGAACACCTAGCCGCTACCGAAAAGGCAACCCCACCCCACGGGAGGGAACCCAAGAGACTTCTACTCCGATTGAAATCAGCGCTTTAAGGTTTAGGGCTTAGGGCTCGGCTTCGGGTTTGGGGGGTTCGGGTGTGGGGTGGGGCTTGAGGTTTGGGGGGTTTAGGCTTGGGTTTTTCGGGTTCAAAAATTGTTTCCGTCCAGCCTCAAGGGTCCAAACATATTCCTCCGAAACCCACAAATGATGAGGCCCTGTGGACCTTAGTTTGAGGGGGAACCCATGAGACTTCCACACCCATATGTGGCCAATGGTCTAGGGTTTAGGGCTTTAATTGGTTTGGGGGAAGCTGAAGCTCCAAGCCGCCTGTCAACTCACAGCCCCATTCCAAAACTCTAGACTCTAAACCCTGAACCGAAAGCCTTAAGCCCTAAGCCCTAACCCGAAACGTTTCGAACCTTCGAAGTTCCAAAGACTTGCTCAGGTGGGGCCTCGGTTTGGATTGGTTTTTCCGAACCCAACACAGCAAAAGCCAACCAAAACCTAGGATTGTTGGTTCTGCGGGTGGAAAACAACAGCTCCTCGAGATTTGAGTGGTTTTCCTAGCCCGAGGCCGCACCCCCCCCCCCCCCTCCAAACAAAACAGGAACAAAAACTGGAGAAAGTGCCCTCTCTCTCACACTTTCATACTCATCATACCCTTTCTCTCTCTCTGTGATGCCATGCTGTCTCTCTCTCTCTCTCTCTCTCTCTCTCTCTCTCTCTCATTCATAATTAGGAGAGCAGCTCTTTTGAGTGAGCTTTTTTTTATGATTCTGAGGCTCCGGAGGGCGACCAGAAGCCGGGCCGTGTCCAAAATGGACCAAAGAGGGCCAGGCCCCGCGCTCCAAGGAGCGGAACCCATAAGAGCAACAAAAAAGAGCAACAGCCAAGAAAGCACAAACAGGAGCCTAACAAGAAAGGAGCAAAAGAGAGAGAGAGAGAGAGAGAGAGAGAGAGAGAGAGAGATAGAAATGCCTTGGAGCAGGCGAGAAGCACCCCCGAATTCAAAAAAAGAGCGCTCGATTGTGTTTTTCCCCGCTGCCTGCCCGGGCGCCACGGACTCCCAAAGAAAGCACGCCGCTGTCGCAGGTCGAGCAGCTGACACAGGCGCGTCTCGCGCCCAAAGCCCACCTCAATCATGATGGGAGTTGATCGGAGGTACCACGTGCACGGTTTAGGGTTTAGGGTTCAGAATTTGCGCTTCATGGTCAGGTACATGACATGTGACAAGGGAAGAAGACAGACAAGCACAGGAATGGTGGTGAAGGGTTTGGCCAGACTTGGTAGAACTCACGGAGTGTTTCTACCCGCGTTTGTAGACCTTGAGGCCTTCAGTTTAGGGTTTAGGGCATATGTTCAACACATCATACCCTCATGCTGTCTGTCTCTCTCTCTCTCTCTCTCTCTCTCTCTCTCTCATAATTAGGAGAGCAGCTCTTTTGAGTGAGCGTTTTTTTTATGATTCTGAGGCTCCGGAGGGTGACCAGAAGCTGGGCCGTGTCCAAAATGGACCAAAGAGGGCCAGGCCCCGCGCTCCAAGGAGCGGAACCCATAAGAGCAACAAAAAAGAGCAACAGCAAAGAAAGCACAAACAGGAGCCTAACAAAAAAGGAGCAAGAGAGAGAGAGAGAGAGAGAGAGAGATAGAAATCCCTTTTTCCCGGTGAGGAGTGGAAGGAGACTATCGGCCGGCAGCTGCGCGAAGCGGAGCGCCAGGAGCAGGCGAGAAGCACCCCCGAATTCAAAAAAAGAGCGCTCGATTGTGTTTTTCCCCGCTGCCTGCCCGGGCGCCACGGACTCCCAAAGAAAGCACGCCGCTGTCGCAGGTCGAGCAGCTGACACAGGCGCGTCTCGCGCCCAAAGCCCACCTCAATCATGATGGGCGTTGACCGGAGGTACCACGTGCACGGTTTAGGTTTTAGGGTTCAGAATTTGCGCTTCATGGTCAGGTACATGTGACAAGGGAAGAAGACAGACAAGCACAGGAATGGTGGTGAAGGGTTTGGCCAGACTTGGTAGAACTCACGGAGTGTTTCTACCCGCGTTTGTAGACCTTGAGGCCTTCAGTTTAGGGTTTAGGGCATATGTTCAACTCGAAGCTGGCTTTTGCTCAAAAGTGGCCCTTTTGCTCAGGAGTGGCCGAGACATGAGTCGGGAGGCCACAGAGCGAGCCGTGGTGCAAATCCACCAGCTCGCTGCAGTTGAGGAACCAACCGTACAGTAACACCGGGGACAATCCCAGGGTGCCAATTCAGATACATTGCAATACATTGCAATGTATCGGTTGAACTTTGAGTTCAGACTGTTTGAAGAGTCCAAACAACACAGAGAAAAAGGCCAACAACAAATCAGCGCTTCCGACAATTCCGTGCCTTGGCCCTGGTCCCTTCCTGGCGTTGCAAGTTGTGATGGGCCAGGCAAATATTTCAAGGTCTTGGATCTTGGATTCCTTCTTCGCCAACCGTACTGTAGAATTTCATTCCTGGAATTTAGCAGCACACGAGCCCTGTTCAAGCTTTTGTCTCAGTGCCTTTTCAGCACCCTGCCCAAGTAGATGCGAAAGGCCCTGCACGCAACATATATATATATATATATATGGTATATATGCTACCCCCCCCCCCCCCCCCCATGCGCCCACGCTTCAGCATGGTTTACAGGTACGAATACTACGTTCCGCCATGCGCGGTCGTTTTTAAAGGGGGGAGGAACTCCCATCAAAACTCCAGCAGAAGTGACCTGAACAATTTGCTCGAGTGCATGGCTACTCAACCGTTTTCATCGGTCCTCAGCAACAGGAAAGACACCGTATGAGTGCATGACTGGTCAGCCGTATCGAGGAGAACTCGTACCATTTGCAAGCACGATTATGGTGAAGCGTTTGAGACCAAGCGAAAGGTGATCGTTTGTGGACATTCGGCGTGTTCCTCGGCAAGACTGTCTCTGGAATGTGGCTTACTTTCCAGAGCGATGGTTTTCATGCATCAAGAAGTGCAATGCCAGTTGGTGAAGCCTATGATGCAAAAGACTTTAGCAGCATGAATATTTTCACTTGGTCGATCAAGAACAGCACGCTTGGAAGCCGAGTACTACCTCAAAAGAAGTTGGTTAGTCCACAAATTGTTCTTCCAGCAGTTGCAGCAGGTGAAGAACGAAAGAGCCTTGTGCATTCGTAACGGACTAGTGTAAAGCTGTGAGCCGTCCAGTTCCTCACTTGCTTGCCCCCCATGCTGTCCATCATGTAGTTCAATCCGGTGCGTGTGAGTACCCCACTCGAGATCAATGCCATTCCAAAACACATGTCGATGCACTCTTTCGCGGTCAGCTTGTTTTTGTGCAGGTACACATGCTTGAGGATGTGCACATAGGACATAGGAGTCTGATGCATCAGGATCACTGTTCGGAGGGGGGGGTGGGACTCTTGGCTCGACACGAAGTTTGAAAGGTTCCGGCAGGCCCTTGTCGTTTGCCGTCTTGCACTCCTTCACGATGGTGTTCTCGAAAAAACTCAGTGTCACTTCTTGTTTGACGTGTTGAATGGCGTCACAAAATGGCTCCACTTTTCCGGAAGTAGAGTCGAGGAAGCGTAATGGTAGATCTCCTGTCCTGCTGTCACGGTACCGACCTCGCGAATGCATGGAAGGGGTTTAGTTTCCGGACCCTTCAGACGGAGTCCAGTGACGTTAGAAATAGCTTCATCAAAGGTGAGCGACCCATCATTTCCCCCCACTACTCTGGCAATGGAGCAGAAGTTCCAGGTTGACTTGCCAAGACAGATATTTTTGGTGTTTTCTATACCGCTCGAGTCTTGAAATCCGCTGCGACGTAAACACCAGTCTAGTCGTGTTATATTTGCATTCTTGCGTTGTTGCTTTTGTTGAGTCGCAATACGCGAGACGTCAGGGAGGATGAGAATACCTCCCCGATAAGCAAAACCGAGAGCTTGCTAGTGTCACAGAATATTGGACTGCAGATTGTTACAAACAGATTAGTAACTGATTATGGTTATCTTTATTTTTCTTGCATATTTGTTTCTCTAAACACGCGAAACAAGACATTCGAGAGACATCGCGCAAGCTTAAAATAACCAAGAAACCCGGATTCACTCTCGCGCTCTTTCTCTCTCTCTCTCTCTGTCTCTCTCTGTCTCTCTCTCTCTCTGTCTCTATCTATATATATATGTATATACATATGTATATATATATATATGGTCATATATATTTAATGGCTACCGCCAATGCCGCCGACCCCGACAGGAGGCCCTAGGGTTTACACAAACACCCCCTACATTGCGCTTACATATATCCATAGGTTCTAGAGTTCAGGGGGGGCGAAACATTGAGTCTTCACGCGCAGGGAGTTGGCGCGCAACCTTAAACCCTAAACCTCACACCTGAAACTCGAAACCCTGAACCCTTAAACCCCAAACTACTAAACCCTCAACCCCCTTAACCAGGCGAGCCGAACCGGGGTGAGGTGGGGGGTAAGCGGTGATGGCGGGGGGGTGGGGGGGTTGGGGGCAGAGGTGAAGGGGTGAAGGCGGGGCGGGCGGGGTGGGCGGGGTGGGCGGGGGGGGGGGGGGGGGGGGGGGGGGGGGGGCGGGGGGGGGCGGGGGGGGGCGGGGGGGGCGGGGGGGGGGCGGGGGGGGGCGGGGGGGTTTGGGCATGAGGGCAAATGGGTCTTCACTGACGCCTCCCCCGCTAAAGCAGGGGTCGGCGGATATATATATATATATATATATATACATATATCAAAGCAGAATTAGTGAGGATGTTAGTAGTGTAGATGTGAATATTTCTATTTAGACCCAGACTCATCCCACACCAGCAACAATACTAGGAGCTTTGTGGCCAGCTTCTTGTCGGGTCCAGCCGCTGTTGGAAAATTGAGAACTTTGGATGAAATTCTTGCACGGTGGCTCAAGATGCAACGCATTGCAACGCGCTCCTTCGAAAGCCTCGTGTCTCTGCATTGCAGCCGATTGCAGCAACCCCTCCCCCCAGCTTAGACAGATGTGCGCGGCTGGATATCAGGACGGTTGAGCAAGTTTCGGTGCTTCAAATTGCGCTTTGACGCACTGGGGCTTTCTGCTCAAAGCCCACGGTTTCGGTAAGCAAGTCGTTTTTGTGTTTCTTTTTGCTTTCGCCTTGCGGAATGCTTGTCTTTGCTCGGCTCAGAGCAGTGTTCCTGCGCTGCTTTTAGCAAGTCTTAGCTCCGTTGCTGTCATGTAGTGATGGCCAAGCCGCGGGGTGAGCGATCTTCTGCTTCACAAGCATGGATTCGGAGATGTTTCGTGTGCTGGGTAGCTCCGTTGGTTTTCTTGCTTTTCATCCCATTCAACATGCCCAACATGCCTGTGGATGGCACGGAGTTCGGTTTGCTGGAAACGGTGGGGCCGCCATTGATAGGCTTGACTGCGACGTCTCTGTTGGGCATCACCCTGCCCCTTTGTGGCTGTGCTTCCCGGTGGTTCGTGGTTGTGCAGGTGGTTCTGCAAATCGCCATCATCGGATGCTTCTTGACGTTTCAGGAGAGAACCTCGGCAGCTCCGGCAGCTCCGGCAGCTCCGGCGAAGCAGCACACATTCAGAGATGCTGAAGCTGCGGAGGAGCCAAAGGTTGCCACACGCTTTTTGCAGCCGCAGAATCAGAAGCGATCCGGGACGATGTCAGTGGTGCTGCCTTGCTTGAACGAGCCATATGCCTTTAAGACGGTGATGAGCTTCTGCAACCGGACACCTGCAGAGGTGCTGGAGGAGATTATTGTGGTAGACGACGCTTCTGTGCCGCCGCTGGTAAACAAGCTGGAGGGTGTACCCTCACAGTGCAAGCTCAAGGTCCTTCGGCACAACGAGTCCCTAGGACTCATGATTGCCAAGCAGACGGGAGGAGACGCCGCATCAGGGACCTATATCGGCTTTTATGATTGCCACGTGGCACCTGCGAGGAACTGGTACAAAGAGACCATCGAACTTTTAGCGGCAAAGGAGCGTCGGCTTGTTGTCCCCATGATCGCTGACCTAGATCTTGACACTTGGGATGAGAAGGTGCACGGAGCCCTCACGGCCAAGTGCTACATCAACTTCAATGCTGACTTTTGGTGGTACGAGGATGAGTCCGATTTCATCCCAGTGATCAGTGGAGGCTTGGTCGCCACAACACGGAAGTGGTGGCAGGACTCTGGTGGCTTTGACCCTGGCATGCGTGGGTGGGGCGGGGAGAACACGGACCAATCGCTGCGAGCATGGCTGTGCGGTGGTGACATTTTGCGAGCTCGGTCTAGTCACGTCGCACACATGTGGCGGGTCGATTCCGACCCCCGCACCCTGTCCCACTATCATCTGAAGCATCGCACTGACAATTTGGCGAGGGTGGCCGCCATATGGTTTGGTGAGTTCAGAGACAAGTTTCGGGAAGGAAAGCTGGACTCAACGCTCGATGTGTCTGTTGCAGTTCACAAGCTGCAGGCTTTGCAGTGCAAGCCGTTTGCCTACTTTCTGCATCGCTTTCGCAAGTTGTACGTCAGAGGAGGCGTGCTGCCAGAACACGTCTTCCGCCTGCGCTTAAAGGGAACCGACAAGTGCATCTCAAAGAGTGGAGCCGTCTTCAAGCTGGCGCCTTGCGCCGTGGCATCCTGGTTGCACTTTGCCAACATGGCTCCCCCACGTTTTCCGCGTCCCAGTGATTTCGAAAGGGACGCGTCCTTGGCGCCATCTTCGTCTGAAGTGGTTTGTGGTGGTCACACAGCTCCCAGTTGTGCAGAGTGTCCGCGACAGCATGGGGAAGAGTGGTGTCACGTCGACTGCAAATGGGTTTTCGGAAGCTGTGTTCCGGCAGTGAAATCAGGGCCGTCGTCCTTGAATGATTCCAACATTTCCAACACCTCTAGGCCATTCTCGGGCATACGTCTATGGAATTCAATCGAGTGCTTTGACCGTTTGGATCCGACAGGTCCTATTGTCTATTTCTGCGATATCACAGGCAACAACCAGAACCAGCAGTACCTGCTTGATACCCAGGGCCTCATCCGCCACTCTTCCGGCCGCTGCGTCTCTGTGAACCCCAAAGCGACGCAGCTGGCGGCCCACCCCTGCGATGGCGCTCGCGGCTGGGAGGTAATCGAACGCTTTGTCCCCGCAGAGACCCAGAGATACCAGGCTGCAGTGGCCCGTTACCAGCTTCGAGAGGACTCTCCAGACAGCTAGCACGCAGAAAAGGGCGAGTTGGAAGTAAGTGCCTTCAAAGTTCTTTTGGCAGGGCCCTAGCTGTTGCAGGGCGTATCTGCGCAGAAGTTGAACGTGGTCCCCACATGTCTTACAAGCAGAGCTAGGGGTTCCAGATTGCTTCTTATATCCACCCCAGCATACCCCAACCGAAAAAACTCTGCAAGTGCCGAAGATCCTTGACATCTGACAAGTAAGCCAAGCTGTGCCGCGAAGGCTGCTTGCTGAGGCTGCAGAAACTTAGGCCGTGGTATGAATGCAAGCACTCTTACCATATGTCAGTGAGCGAGCCATGATCTCTGAAAGATTCCCTGTAGTTACTTCAGGACGTGAACCGAACTGGGCAGTCAGGTTTGCGCATGCAACGATCTGTAACCTCTAAATCAACTCTACGAATGCGTTCACACAGCAGAATTTAAAAGATGGTGTCGTGGTCTGAGCACTCATACATCCCCATCAGCAACACACATGCACTATGATGCACTGTTTAGTCAGTAGTCGCACGAAGAAACCTGGACCAGAACCCAGGACAGTCGGAGTTTTTGTTGGGGAAGTGCGTAGTGCAAGCTCAGACAAATTGAGGACGTTTTAGGTTTAGGGTGAGACATTCAGGGAATGATGGGGCTTCGTGTTTGATGGCGGATTCGCCTGCGCCCTGGGCTCAATGGAAGACCGCCCGACCACAGCATGAAGTCAATCTAGAAGATTCAGCCTGAGCTAAGAAAATGAGAAGCAAACCACAGCAAACCCAATTGAAGCTAGACTAGGTGTTCTTGCAGCATCTCGCAGGATCTTGCTCAGAGTTCCGGGATATGAGTAGGGCAAAGGTGGCGAGCAAAGGCAAAGGCCGTGCAAAGGCCCCGGAGTTGAGATGCATTGGAGCGGAACATCGAGATCTCCAGCAAATCGATCAGAGCCCCTGTGTTCTTTTTGCTGCGCAGATTTTTCCAGGAAAAGGTGTTTTCGTTTCCTCTCCGCAGGTGGCAGGCTTTCGCCTGGTGCCGCCAAGTGCCGAGGGCCTGAAAGAAGCTCCCCTGACAAAGCTCAGAGAAGCAGTGAGCGAGGAGGCGACCTGCGTTTCCTTAGAATGCCGAAGGTATCTGTACTAAGGGCACTGGCTTAGGTTCGGTATCTTCGGGGCTTTCATAATTTGCTGAGCGTGGAGCTATAACCGTTTGCCAAGTGCTATAGTACCACCTCTTGAGATTGCAGCGCTGCCCGAGCAACGTCAGCGGGTTTGCCAGTTGAAAAGTTTGTCATGTTTCTTTCGGCATTCGCTTCGCCACATCGTCCACAACAAACGTGCGCAGCTAAAGGCTTTTTGCATTGAGCGAGGTGGGAGCTGGAGCGCTTGCAGGCGCGGCCCACCTGGTGCTGTGCCTTGGCCTTCAGGCATCTTCAGCCACTGGGCGACATTTGCATAAGTCAGCATCCGCTCTCAGGCGACGAGGCCGGTGCGTGCTGGCACATGCAGACGGCTTTGCGAATCTGCGCGCGAAGCAGCGGTTTGGATTGCGTACTCTTTGCCGCCTGCATGGCTGCACCAAGCCACTGGTGGCAGCAGCTTTCCTGACCCTTGTTGACAAGGGCAAGGTGAAACTAACCGATCCGATCTCCAAATACATCAGCTTCTCCGAGGAGGTGAGTGTGAAACGTGGGAAGTCTCGACCGAAGCTCCGCAAAGTGAAGGTTCGACCCACCCTCCGGCACCTTCTCACCATGACTGCCGGACTTCAATATCAGGACTGGGGGTGGGCACCATAGGGAAGAATACTGCAGCAATCGCCATCAAAAATGAGGCTTTCCCGTGACTGCAGTTTGGCAAACTCCAGATGCGATGTCCACTCCGAGACCCTGAGGACTGTCCAGCATACGCCAAGGTCATGAGGCGCATCAAGCAGCAGCAGGTCAAGACGCGCGGCTCTGTTGAGGCTTTCTTCGGGTCAGCATCCTCACATTCTGGAACCCTGAATGGTGCAAGTTTCGGGGAAAGCCGAGGAGTCTGGCATCGATGTGTGATGAGCTTGCGGCCCAGCCCCTGCAACGTGAGCCAGGACACTCCAACTGCTCCTTGTGTATTAAACTTGTGGCAACTCGAAGATCCGTTTCGTGGCAACGTGGCGCAGGGTCCTGCTATACCTACAGCTTCTGCACGGACATGATCGGCAGAGTTTGCGAAGCCGTGAGTGGCAAGCGGCTGGAAGCTGGGCTTGGAGAAATCATGGGGAAGAAACTCGGGGGAGTTTCTTGAACACAGGGTGATCATGTGTGTAAAAAATGTTCAGTGGGTTTTTAAATGGCTGCATTTGTCTCTCTCTCGTCGCGCAGGTTGCGAGCTTCCCAGTCTCCGAAGCTTAGATGGCTTGTGACTGCGTCCCTTTGTGAGTCCCTTTGTATCGCTCCGGAGGACCAGTTCATGAAGGCGGCCCTGCTGGCTCCACTGGGGATGCGAGACACCTTCTTTCAAGTGCCCGACTCTTTGGAGGATTAAGACTAGGGGCTTCAGGGAGGCACCAAAAGATCGTGTTTGGTTTCAGATGTCAGAATGTTTCAGATAAAGGAATGTTTGCCTCCACGCAGTGGGGCGTGCGCACAGGCTTGCTGGACTGTGTAGTTTGCAGCCCGGGCGTTGCTCGGGTTGTTTTCCCGAGGTTTTTCCCTGAGCTTGCTTGACCGAGTCTTGTGGCACAAGTCCGTATGAAGAGCTCAGCCCCAGATCGTATCGAACCTTTTTCCCACAGATGAATGTTGGGTTCGGTTGTTCAGAAGGGTTTCATGTGAGGCCAACAAGCGGAAGAGGGAAGCGGTTCTCTACGACTGCCAGCGTGGCAGCGGCGGAATGTACGTGCCGAAGGCGACTGCCCAAGCACCTTGCTTGCTCCAAGAGGTGTGGATGTGATGTGCTTCAGACTGCGATGGGAAGGTCTGGAGTCAGCCAGGCAAGGCCGTCCCTATCATGAGTGCTGGAGGAGGGATCTTGAGCTACAATGCCGCTGGGCTTCAAAAATGGTGACCGACAGCAGTAGCCCTAAACCCTAAACCACCACTCCTAAAACCCTAAAATCCTTGAGCCCGAAACCCGGGACCTACAAGCTTTGGCTTTGTGAGGATCCTGGGATGTGGAGCACAGTGGAGGACTACACGAAGTTCTGTCAGATGCTGCTCACTGGCAAGTCCCCGACAGGCGCCCAGATCCTGCGGCCAGGCACCATGAAGGCCCCTCGGACCTGAGCGGTTGATCAAAGGGGGGCCCCGTTCGTACAGTTGTAGGGTCCTCCGTTAAAGGGGCCCCCCCATTAAAGGCCCTCTTCCCTACTCGTAACACCCGTGTCTCCGTCTGGGGCCTCACATTCCCCTCGTATTCGCTTGTGTTTGTCGAAGGCTCTCTGGTCCGACAGCCTGGCTGTGTACGGGCAGAAGGCGAGTGTTGGGCCCAACCAGCCTGTAGGCTACTTCTCAAAGAGCCCCCTTTTTCGAAATCTTTATCTTTATACTTTCCTTTGGGGACCGTCGGCGAAAAGCGAGTGGATTGGCGGGGAACCGATCCTCCGAAGGATGGCCGGCTGCCTGGCTGGCACGACGCAGATGGCAAGGCCAAGGGCGGAATGTGGGACTATACCGGCTGGTCCCTCCTGAAGCTCAGTGTGTTTGGAGGTTTGCACCATTGTTGTCAAGACTTGAGGCTCCTTGATTTCGGGCAGCGAAGGATATGTCAATCCCAGCAGAACATAAAGAGACGTCTTGCAGAGTCTCAGTGTGGCTAGTGTGGTTCACCTGAGGAACACCCATCTCACCTTCAAGCAGATGCCTTCCCCGTGCCTGGGCCACACAAATAAGGGAGGCTCCCAGAGCCAGGCAGTTCTGAGCGGGAATGACCGAGGAGCAAACGCGCCCGCGTGGGGCAGACCATGTGGATGGGTGGTGGGGGTGGCACCTTCTGGGTGGTGGACAAGAAGCTAGGATTGGACTCTGGAAAGGCTGTGATTCCTTTCTATGATGAGGAGGAATGACCTAAGTTCACTCAATCCCTATTTCCTCAACCCCGGGGAGGAAGCACGAGACCGTCGCCATCTCCTTCTCTCAGAGCTTCGGTGGCCGCCCTCAGACCGATGCCGCGAAGGACGCCAGTGGCAATGCTTTGTAGGCGATTCTTCGTCCTCGTATCCTTACGATTACCATTACGATCATGATAACACGAATACGTAGTGTTTTTTTACTATGATTTGATTGTTTGCTCTCGACAATGCTTGATGACAGCTCATCTTCGAGATCGCGATGTTTGCCTTCTGCCTGCCCCTTCTCATTGCTTTTCTCCATTGCTGGCTTCAGTGTGAGTGCCCAGGGGACAGCAGGGGCAGAATTTGACATCTGGCGGGCTTGTTGCACCACCATTGTTACCTTCCTGGAAGGACGCGGCGGTCTTCCTTGAGGCGGCGCTGCAGTAGGCCGGTCGGGTTTGGAGCCCAGACTCGAGCCTCCCATGGAGATGGAGCAGCTGACATCGACTGTGAGCAGTCGGGAAAACCTTCCAGCTTTGCGTCTTGCTGCAATAGCTTACGAGCTCAGGGACTCTAAGCAAGATGAGCTTCATTGATGCGACGTTGAAGCAGAGATACTGTTTATGTTGGAAGCCATTCGGCAATGAAAGGGACGTGGCCTTTGCAGAGAGCTCTCAAAGAGGTCGTGGGGTCAACCCTTCCTCGAATCTTTCCTATTTGTGCCCACCTGCCAGCAGGCGTTTCATTCTCACAGCAATGTTCCTGTTCCACATTTGCATCTGTACCAGCTAGAGACACGTCTTTTCTGTGTGGCACACGCATCTCATCCTCAAGCTTCATCCAAGTGGATATTTGAGTCCATATCCAGCAACTTAGCGCGCAGCCTGCGATTTGTGCCAGCAGCTTGCCCGTGGCATTCGCTGGAGGCGAGGAGGCACTTGCGCTTTCTTGTAGGTCATGATTCCCATCAAAATCCTTGGCCGGGCACTCTCTTAACACGGACTGCACGTGGGAATTGGAGCCACTAGCGGGCTTGGACTTAGACGGCCTCTGAAGGCCCCCAGATCCCCCAATATCCCTCTGGCAAGGCGATCGATGGAGGCGGCACGCTGCCTTGGAATCGTCAGAGTGAAACACTGCAGGTCCAGGTCTGGAGAGCCCGAGGGCCAAATGACGTAAGGGAACAAATCCTTGAACAAATGCTGTCCTCTAGATAGGTGCGCAGAAATGTCATTCGAAGCCGTTTTCAGAAGGGATCTCACACGCCTTTCTTTTTCTCCTCAAAGGCCCCACCCTCCGACAACCTCTACATCGCGGACCTCCCGCCGGGCTTCGATGCGCGGATCCTAGAAGTCCAATTGAAGGTCCTCACTCCCAGTGTGGTCCAGGCTTAGCACCACTTAGCACCACTTAGCACCACTTAGCACCACTTAGCACCACTTAGCACCACTTAGCACCACTTAGCACCACTTAGCACCACTTAGCACCCTGTTCCTGAACCGCAGAGCTGTAAGAGAAGCTCCCCCTCGGCAGCGTTCAGAATTCCCGAATCCGGCCTTCAGGAGCCGAGCCTTCAACAAATCTTCGGGGAGTGCCCCGCTGTTGGAGATCTTATGGCTTAGGGTTTAAGGTTTCGGGAGTCCCGGGAGAGGTTTTCGTTGTTGTTTTGTGCCGAGGCCTTAAGATGTAGCGAGCTGAGAGAAACTCAGCCCTCAGACCTTGACCCCTAAACCCCGCAGACCCTAGAACACCTCAACCCTAAATCCACCCCCTCAACCCCTTTGAGCCCGGACAGAGATCCCCAAGGTTCGATGAGCATTTTGTCTCATTGACTCCCAAACATACAAGGACCCCCCAAAAAGGACCTGATGTAAGCGCTGCCCCAAACAAAACCTTTTTGGCCGCACTGCACTCATCAATGTCTTCGCATCTACCAGCTATCGTGCTGCACGCGTGTGCCAGTGTTAATGGTTCTTTTGTGGCTTCGGGTTCGTAGGAGAAACCGGGTATGTGTCAGCCTGTAGAGAGCGAGGTACGGAACCGTCACGCAGTTTAAGCTCCTGCACAACAGCGGCCCCGGCGGAAAGGCTGGCTGTTGCCAGCCGCGGAACCGCGGCATCACTTTTGAGCGTGACAGTTGCCATTTGGGAAGCTGGTTGCATCGTGGACAGTTCTCTTCATCATGGTTCTTTTTTGGGTAGCCCCTTAAACGCCTCAAAATATATAGAGCTCCATCTCATGGGACAGGAACCTCAACAGGGATCATATTTTGGACTGCTGCTGGGTCTCATCATGGTACCCTGAACGCCTATCCCTGACGTGGAGAAACCCGTATGCTGCACTGGCAGACCGCCGCACTGGTGAGATTTCAGTCCGTCGAGGAGGCTCCTGTTGTGTGGTACGCAGTGTGGTATTTTCAGATGGTATGTAGCAGTATACGGTGATTGTAATGTACATGTATCTGTATACGTATATGCATGCAAATGCATGCGTATATGCATGTCTATGTATGTATGTATGTATGTATGTATGTATGTATGTATGTATGTATGTATGTATATATGTATATATATATGAGCCTGAGACCTTTAGGGTTCTTTTGGCTTAGTTTTTATAAGCCCTCTTAAATAAACAAAGCCAAACGCGATAAATATAGGAATATATATGCTCTTAAATGAACGCGTCCACTACATGTCTCGATCTGTTCAAGTATAGCTCAGCTTTCTACTCCCTAAACCTGAAACGTTAAACCTTGAAACCTGAACTTCAACCCTTTAAACCTAATCTTTATTTTTTGACCCTTAACCTTGAAACCTTTAAAAGTAAACCTTAAACTCGCGAAGTCCTAACTTTTAACTTTCACCCCTAGGCTCGTGACTGTAATCCGACGCATCTTCTCGCTTCCTTGCTCATGGCTGTGCTTGAAACACAGGCGTGCTGCGAGTACCTGCGAGTCCATCATCTCTGCCTATGCGTGTCGCTTTTATCAAGATAAGTCATGATGGCTCGCGCTTCGGATAGTCTGTACATTGCAGAAACAAATGCACGGTTTAGGTTTAAACCTTCAAGGTTTATGGTTTAGGGTTTAAGGTTTAAGGTTTATGGTTTAGGGGATAGGGTTTAGATTTTTGAGTTTCGGGTTTAGGGTATAGGTTTAGGGTTTATACTTAAAGGTTCGGGTTTATGGGTTTTCGATTTAGTCCCTTTTATGATGCAGCTCAAAAAAGGTCTCTGCTCATCTGCACGTGGTCAGTTGAGGCTCCAGAGAGACATTATTCACTAAACCACAAGCCATAGACCCTAAACCTTAACCTCTAAATCCTAAACCTTGAACTCTAAGCCCTAAACCGTAAACCCACAAGGGCCTTACTTTACTTCAAAAACTCCCCGCGCAGAAGAAGACACAGATGAAGAAAGTCATAAGCTGAGCTCGAGCTCGGAGCTGCTCATACATCTACACCTGTCTAACATTCCTCATCAGTTTCTACTCCCTAGATTTTAAGCCTAACACCCTGAACTTTAAACCCTTAACTTTGAATCCTAAGTCGAAAACATTAAATCCTCCACCTTGAAACACTCGGAGCCTTAACCCTAATCCCTTGAACCCTTATATCTCAACCCTAACCCTTAAGGTCGTGATCCTGATCTAAGACGCCTCCCAGCTTCCTTGCTGCGGGCTGTGCTTGCAAAACTAACATGCTGAGAGTCCAGCATCTCTGCATGTTCTTGTCGCCTTTTCTTGTTCTAGACGATACTGGCTCGTGCTCTAGAGATCTGATTGTCATCTGATTGTCCGCATTGAAACACAAAGCCACTACTTCCTGCAGGATTTACTAAGCCCAAAACCCCAAACTCACAAGGGCCTCACTTTAGTAGACACACTCCTAGCGCAGACAAAAACAGATCAGGAGAGCCGTTAAACTCAGCTTGTGCTCGGAAATGCTCATACGTCTCCACCTCTTTAACATTCCTCAGCGTTTCTTTGTGCTGAACCTGAAACCTTAAACTCTGAGCCCTGAACCCTAACTTCTTAAACCTAATCTTTAAAATCTGCTCCTAAACCTTGAAACCTGTAACAGTTAACCTTAAACCCACGAAGTCCGAACTTTTAACGTTCAGCTCTAGGGTCGTGACTGTAGTCCGATGCATCTTCTCACTTCCTTGCTCATAGCTTTGCTTGAAACACTGACTTGCTGCGAGTAGCTGCGAGTCCATCATTTCTGCTTATGTGTGTCGCTTTTACTAAGATAAGTCGTGATGGCTCGCGCTTCAGATAAGCTGTACATGGCAAAAACAAACTGCACGGTTTAGGCTTTAACCTACAAGGTTTATGGCTTAGGGTTTAGGGTTTAAGGTTTAGGGTTTTAAGTTTATGGTTTAGGGCATAGGGTTTAGGTTTTAGGGAGCCCCTTCTATGATGCAGCTTAAAAAGGGTCTCTGCTCATCTGCACCCGGCCAGTTGAGGTTCCAGAGAGACCTTATCCACTAAACCATAAGCCATAGACCCTAAACCCTAAACTTTAAACTGTAAACCTTGAACTCTAAGCCCTGAACCTTAAACCCACAAGGGCCTTACTTTACTAAACAAACTCCCCGCGTAGATGAAGATACAGATGGAGAGAGTCCTGAGACTGAGCTCGAGCTCGGAGCTGATCATACATCTCCACCTGTCTAACATTCCTCGTCAGTTTCTACTCCCTAGATTTTAAGCCTTACACCCTCAACTTTAAACCCTTAATTCCGAATCCTAAATCGAAAACATTAAACCCTCCGCCTTGAAACACTCTGAGCCTTAACCCTGACCCCTTGAACTCTCATATTTAAACCCTAACCCTGAAGGTCGTGATCCTCATCTAAGACGCCTTCCAGCTTTCTTGCTCAGAGCTGTGCTTGGAAAACTAACATGCTGCGAGCAGCTCTGAGTCCAGCATCTCTGGATGTGCTTGTCTCCTTTTCTTCCTGTAGATGGTAGTGGCTCGCGCTCTAGAGATCTGACTGTCCGCACTGAAACACAGAACCGCAACATCCTGCAGAATTAGCTCTGGCATCCAGGAACCTATGCTTGAATGCCTCGACGTCTGAGATCCAGCAAGGGCCATTCATCTCCAGACAGTCTGAGAAGCACCGTAAAACTCTAAACCCTAAAGAAAAAACAACATCCAGAAAAAAACGATACTTGGGAGCTTTGAGTCACTCGATTCTTGCGTGACTTTAATTATATGATTGAGACTCTAAGGTTTATCATTTCAATGTTTTGGGTTTAAAGATTTCGACTTAGGGTTTAGGGTTTAGGTTTTAGTATTGAAGATTAAGATGTAGAGTTCATGCTCTAGGGTTTAGAATTACCAGGCAATCCGAGAAGCAACGTTAAACTCTAAATCCTGTGAAAAAAACTAACAAAAACGAGACTTGAGAAGCTTCGGGATACTCGTTAACATAGCTGCTTAGCTTCCCGAACAACCTTTCCTGTGGCCCTACCGCATCTCGGCAGCATAAATCATCTACTCGATCTCTCATGTGAAAGCTGAACACGCTCAGTCAAGATCTTCCCCATCGTCATCCTGTCAGATGATTTCGCGTCTTATTATTTCAGGATCGTAAATTCCACTGATTCAGATTTGAAGTCGAACCTTTATACACTTGCAACGAAGACCATTAACCTTGCTGCAGGATTCGAAGTGTAAGGTCTGGGAGTATGTCGGAGATCATCATCCTTTTACGTTTCAACTTCTTGCTGCGCGCAGGATTAACAACGAATGCCAAGTTTCTCTTCTCGGGGCGAACCACAGCATCTGCGTAAACGCAAGGACTCATGATGAGTCTGTGTGGTCTAGTATTTTATGCCGCCTCGACGTCGACGCCTGGGAATATTGTTTCGGACGTAGTACGAATTACGTCCTTTCCGCATCAATGCAAATCTCGATGACATGTAATTTAATATTATTCGCACGTAAGTCTGCTCATCAGACGAGTCCTTTGCGCGCAAAGCCCTTGTACCAGGAGAATCGCGACAATCTTGACCATGAGCATGCCTCTTTTAATTCCTAGCGCAAGAAAAAGAACTCACACAGAACAAGAACTCGATGAGCCTTTGTCGTTGCAGTCTTCTTTGTCGTAAAGGTCCGAAAAATTATATTCTTCGCCAAAGTGTCGCCTTAAAAATTGAAGCGTGCAGGATTGTAGAGAGACATTCGAATCTTAGATGCAGCTCAGAAACACCAAGTAAAGATACTGTCCATCTTCAAGCAAAACCCGATGGGCTTCCCTGCAGTCATGGTAATGCATTGTTTTCGATTATATTTTAATAAGACAAATAGTTATAATAATACTAGTATTACTAAAAATATTAATAATATCAATGATACGAAAATAAAATAATAATACAAGCTAAGCCACACTGATGCTGTCCGCGAGGAAGGCTGAAGATCTCATCGTCGATATTTGGATTTGTTGCAGCGGTCGACCTGAAGACATACATGCTTGATAAAATTTCTTATAGAAATGTATAATTGTCACATATTTATGTATGTTAAGAATATTAACGTTCTTGCAACCTCCAGGTCCAGACAATGTCAGAGCAGTGGTCAGCTGCACGAGACCTTAGACAATATACGCGCGTGCGGTGATGTTATCATGCGGTCTTACAGGAACTGAGGCCTTTACTCCATCTCGACGAGCTTGAGGATGCTCGGGTGCGTCACAGAGGCTGACCTATGAGCACAGCTGCATGAATGGGGCAGCAGGGGTATCTTATTCTAAACTAAATACTAGACAGGTGTCTGGAAAAGATGCCAGTGGTGGATGCCTGCAATCCTCGGCCGCCGCATTATGTTGGGAGAAACATTTAGTTATGGTTTGTGTACAAGAATTAAGACCCCCACTCCATGTTGAGAAGTCGCCGCGTTTGCATACACTCATCTTCCGGTCTCCTGGCAGATACGCCAACATGACATTGCGTTAAAATCTAAGCGAACATCTGAAAAGAAAAACATCACTTAAAATTCTCGTCTAGGGCGCAGCTCGTCGTTGACATCAAGACCAGCGTCCGAACGGATCTCCTTCAACACCACGTTCGTCCTGCTTGTCATGCACGGATAAGTATATATGACGAGAAATCAAAACTCAACACAACTTCTGCATCCAGCACTCTCCTTGTCAGTCGTCCGTCAGGACCGATTAGCCCTCAAAAAAAAACGAATCGCGATATTTTTATTGAAATTTTTGTAGTAAGTTCCTGACGCGTAGCTGCGCGACGGCGAGGGCCGTCTTTGAATTTCCTTATTTTGAAAACTTTACACATATAAATTACAAAGTTCAGGCCGTACTGAGGCAAGCACAGATCTTTTGCTTCGCAGTCCTCTGCCAGGCCACTGGCAGCGCGCCT